AGCCTCCAATTTTTGAAACTGAACAGAAAGACACTATGAAATCCCTAACCTCACAGGTCATTATTCAGGGGCACGCAGACTATAATTAAGTATCCTATGGCTCCGCCTTCACACTGAGCCAGATAAGTAGGGAGAAGTGCACCCAGGCACGCTAACAGGTCTTTAATAAACACAGGGTTCTGAGTCAGAGGGGAACTTGCCACCTCATGTTTGGCAGGCACGGGTAGCAGAATCCGAGTATGATGCCCTCTTGGTCCTGGTTTGTTAACAACAAGAATATAGGATTCTGCTTGGTTACAGAGTGCCTCCATGACTGTGAACAGTGGGTCCTGTGAAGGTGGTCGGGCGAACCCAGTTTTACAGACAGGCCTGGGAAGTGGTGGGGTTCCAGGAGGTCCCAGGATCCTTTGGGGGAGAGCAGTCTCACACTTGTTCTGTAGCTCCACGGTCCAGCCTAAAACACCAGGCTGGTGACCCAAAGCCGAGTTGGGAAGAGCAGCCTGGCCTGTCTACCGATGGAGCAGGATGGGAACATCTCTGTCCAGGGTCCCACAGGGACACTGCCAGTTCAAGGGTCTTCTTACAGAGGGAGTCAGCAAAGTTGCTTCCGGCAAAGTTGGACTTAATCCAGTTCCCATCACACATGGATATCGCCAACAGCCAAAGCCATTCCCATGTCTGCTGCCCCAAGGCAGAAGATCTTCAGGAAGTTAGCCTGCAGCAGTTGAGCTCAAGGGCCTGGGGCAGGGACCCAATTTTGCCTGTCACCTGTTGTTCTCAGCACACAGGTTCCATGCTTTTATTCCACTCAGGTGAAGGAACTACAAGTTCCAGACTTTTGTATCTAAGACTATTCCACATTTATTACTTAACAGGCCAAACCCTTTCCTGGGAAATCAAAAGCCTGATTCCACACAATAAGGTTTTCAAAATAGGTCAGAGCAGGTAGTACCTGCTGACGTTCCAAATACCAGCCACGTCCCCCAGATATTACTTACTTTGGCAGGATGGTGTCCTGGGTGCCCCAGCCCACTCCCCACCCCATGCCTCTCAAAGGAAGTCTGATCTTTCCTCCTAGGCACAAACCCAGAGCCTAGCAAGCATCCAACGAACTTCAAAGCTATGTGATATGGCAGTCATGAACTTTCCTCCTAGCTCTGACGGAACCAATCTTTCAGTTCAAACTCTCTCCCTCCTTTCAAGCCAAAAGAAAAAAAGAAAAAAGAAAAGAAAAGAAAGAAAAAAAGTTAAGCCAGCATTCCAGGCAGCTGCCAGATCTATCCCTAGTTACACTCTCAAATCTGGCCTGGCCACAAGAATTATCAGAAATCAGTGAGGAGCTTAGGCCTGGAAATTAACATCGTACCACAATGAGAAGTGAACTTCTGAGTTTGGATCTCACTAGCGGGGTCCCCTGACCCTCCTTAGTTCCCCAGAAATACTCAGATTAAAGCATCTCCCCCAGTTCTAGATGCGCAGAAGTACCAGGTGGGCGGTAGGATTGAGGCCCCAGACATCTTTTCCTTCCAGCGCTTTCCTCTACAGATTCTTCAGCAGGCCTCAGCCCAGCAGGCCTCAGCCCAGTTCTGAACAAGTAAAAGCTCACAAACTTCTCACACAAGCCTAAACCGACCTTATACAAGACCTGAATGCTTGCACCAGAGATGAACTAGCATGGCATTTGCCAGGATGCTGCCAGATACTAATAACTTGTTTGTTACCAGTATCATCAGTGAGATCAGAAACTTTTAATTAATATCACAGCCTCGATTGCTAGAAATCAAGCCTCTCCATGACCCACTCTCTCCCACATCCACCTGACTTCTTTTTCTCAACTTAGAAATAACACTGTTAAAAGCCTCTGAGATCAAGAACCTGTTTCAAAGCATTGTTTCTCAACCTCGGTGCACTGACATGTGGGGCTGGATAATTCTTTGTTGTGGGTAAGGCTGTCCTGTGTATTATAGGATGTTTAGCACCCATCCCTAGCCTCTACCCACTCAATGCCAGTAGCCGCCCTCTCCCCAAGTGGTGACAACCAAAAACCGTCTCAGACATTGCCAAATGTTCCTGAAAGGACGCATGGGGCTGGGGAGGGGCGGGGGGGAAGGGAAGGATTAGTCACCCCAGCTGAAAAGTACCAATGCAAGCTTATACCTTCTTAAAAATACCAGATGCCAAAAGATACCCTGGGGTTCTAACAACTTGGGATCTGGATGCTGAGTTTTATGTACGTGTCTATCTATGTATATGTGGTTATCCATGTTTTGAAAAGGAAGAAAAGCAGGCGGCTATCACAAGAATGGCCCAGGAGAGATTTTTTGTTTTGTTTTTTGTTTTGGTATAATTATTCTCACTTCTCACAAATCTTAGGGCAGGGTTTCTCAACCTCAGCACTACTGGCATCTGGGCCCAGATAATTCTTGGTTGTGGGGGCTGCCCATGTATTATAGGGTGTTGAGTGGCACCCCTAGCCTCCACCCACTAGATACTAATAGGAACTCAGGTTACGACAACCAAAAATACCTCCAGATATTGCCAATGTCTCCTAGAGAGTAGAACTGGCCCTGGTTGAGAACCACTGTCCTACAGGATGATATAAATGTCCCCACATCGCTTTGTGTAAAAAGGGGAGTGCGTTTACCCTTGTACCAGATAAATGAGACCAGTGGCTGAAAGCATACTGCCTGTTCATATGGTGAGAATTCAAGAGACATTAATTACTGCCTCATACTCTCAACAGCCGACCCCACTCTGAGAACAAGAGGATGAAAAGAGGTGTACTGAGCACAAGAAAAGAAACACACAAGGAGATGGACACGTCTGGATAAACAACCGAGATGCTGGGGGCCTGTGGAAACAACTGCAGAAGAGCATGGAGCAGAGCCAGCATGATTCTTGAGAGCACAGCTCAGCAGAGGATTGATCAGGAGGCCAAGGCAGCCGCTCCCAAAGTAGGATGCGGCCGTCGCAGCAGCTCTTTGGGGATGGGCCCCAGAATGGCAAGATCACAAATCGATCTGAACCAGCAGCTTACACTGCACGGTGCTTTCCAGGTTTCAACGTATTTCTCACAAATCTGAGCGCAGGACACCCTGCTTCTCCCTGAGACCAAAAGTTCTGGTGGCCGGCCAGAGTAGCCTAGCTAGTGCCTCTAGCAGTGTGTCTGCTTGGGACAGTATGGGGTGTGGACCTCCAGCATGGGCCTTGAGAGCTAGGGGTTGAGAGGAGAGGGCCTCCCCTGCAGGAGGGACTACATCAAAGTCATCAAGGTCCAAGACAGTAAGCACCATCCCCAGGTGCTCTGGTCAAGCCCTGGGGATCTGGTGCCTGTTGGACAAGGTCTAACCCAGGGCCAGGTCCCTTTAATTCTATCCTGCTGGGGCAAAGGGCTGTACTCTCAGCAATAATCCTAGAACCCCTCTGGATTAAGTTTCTCTTCCACCAGGGGTTAGCCATCATCTGGGGTTTGCCCTAGATAAAACAGTAGGGTTGGCTCAGGACTTTTTCCATCAAGGGGCAAAAGGTACCAGCTGTGTTACTGTGGACTCATTTCTCTTCCCTCCCACTGAATTTCTCCAAATTGTGGGAAAAGCCCAGTCAGCCAGCAGGGACCATACCATCCCTAAGATGGTCGCTCATTCCGCCGATGAGTCTATCCACACAGACTCCATACCTAAGGTTCTTAATCTGGGATGGAGGAACCAACAGCATTCAAGGAATCTGGGACTTCGTGGATCTGAAACTATAAACTGAATTCCCCCATCGCCCCGTTTTCTGGAGAGTGGATCCACAGCTTTCACCAGATTCACAAGCAATGGGGCCTGGACATTCCAAAAAAACCTATACTTAACCGTCACACGTAAAACACTATCCTCTTGGATTCAGCATCCCCCTTCTGGGAATTTGATCTATAAATCCAATCCCACCTGTGAGCAAAGATATTCAATGGCTATTCACTACAGTATTGTTTGTAGCAGAAACCGACTGGAAACAATCTACACATCCATCAAGAGATGACTGGTTAAAATTTAACCAGTCCCCAACAGATGACTGGAACACCACCAACCCATTACAAAGATCAAAGAAACTCTAGGGGTATGCTCTAGCGCAGTAGCTCTGGGGTAAGGGGAGAAGGGGAGTTCCCCCAGGGATATTTGGTAGTACAGGGAGATATGTGTGGTGTTGGGATGGGGGGATGCTCCTGGGATCGAGTGGGTGGGGTCAGGGATGCCGCTCATCACCCCACAGTGCCCAGGACGTCCCTCCACAACAGAAAGCGATCTGAGGTGGAGAATTCCAGCTCTAGCGTTATCTCCAAAACCATTTAACGAAAAACTCGAAGCACAAAGGGCTATGTAGGCTATGCTACCACCGCGTGTGTGTGTGTGTGTGTGTGTGTGTGTGTGTGTTTTAAAAGGAAAGGTGTAACCTATCTTTGGAAAGGGATGTGAATCGTGGGTGACAGTTCTTGCCGCTGGGGAGAGGGACTGGATGCCTGAGGGGCCGGAGGCGGAAACGGACTTTTCACTCTACCCTTTCCCAACTTTGTACCGGGTCCATCAAAAGGGGTTTTCGTTTGTTTGTTTTAAAGAACTACTCCAGACGCCAAGTTTCCCTCCCCTGGGCTCTCTGGCAAGAGTCCCGTGTCGACAGCCTCAGGAGTGTTTCTTCCCCTGCTCTTTCCCCACTCCCTGCCCTTTTACAGGGAAGGGAGGGGTCCATGTCCCGGGTCAACCTCCGGGTGCGTCTCTGCCCCTCCCAGGGGTCGGCCCACCCTTCTCGGGGAGACCGGAGCCCACATGGCGGGCAGGGCCTGGGCCACTTCGTGGGCAGCCCCCTCCGTCCTGGGCTCTCCCCACCCAGCGGGGAACACGCGCCAACACCGCCCCCTCGGTGCCCGCGGCCCCCTCCCGAGCCAGGGTCGGGCCTGGCCGGGTCCCCGACTCCGGGCAGCCTGGGTCCCGGGGCTCGCTCCCCACGCCTCGGCCTCCGCTCACCTGGCTCGCCTTGTAGAACTGTTTCTTCAGCCCCGCCACCGACATACTGCCTGCCGCCGTGGGGGCTCCCGCCCGGACCCAACGAACCGGAGGGACCGCGCAAGCGACAGGCTCCCGGGCGCCGCCGATACCCCGCGCGCCTCAGCGGGCCCCGTCGGCGCCGCCTCCACCGCCCTCTCGCCAGCTCCGCGCCCGCCCCGGCGCCGCCTCAACCCCTCGCGCGCCCGCGCGGCCAGGATATTACATGGCAACCGCACACTTCCGGTGCCGGCCTGCGCGCCCCGGCCCGACTGAGCACGCGCGCCCCCTGCCGGCCAGAGAGCGCACGCGCATGTCGTCTGCCTTGCTGAGGCTGCGTCCGCCAGCGAGCCGGCAGGAGCGAGCTTAGAGGGACCAGGGGGCTACAGCGTCCCCTGGAGGCCCCGGAGGTAGTCCTAAAGTTTTAGGAAAGGCGCTTAAATCCTGGAGAAGTTGGGAGGCTGCGTTTACAAGTCTCCAGATACCTATTCGTTAATCTCAGCTAACCCAATTCTCTGTGCGTTTAGTCCCTCCCCCACACACCTCCTTAACCCTGCAACGTGCTCATCCAATCAGTTGCCCAAGTCAGACATCAGGGTGTCACTTCTACTTCCTTTCTATCCCCTTGTCCTCCCTGCCCTGACTAGACCATCCCTCCAGCCTCCTCTCCGGTATGCCCACCTGCAGGTTCCCCCTACAATTTCCCCTAAAATATAGTCAGAAAGATGCTCTATAACACAGTTCATATCACATTAGTCTACTGTCCTCAGAATACACTCACAACTTCCTAGCAAGGCCTGCCTACAAAGCTTGCACATTTTGGTTCCATCAACCCTTCTGACTTCAGCTCTCTTCCTCTTCTATAATCCATGATACCTGTTTCCTATGGGCCTTTGCTAGTGTTGTTCCACTCTCCCCCAATCTTCCCTCCATCCTTTGTGCATAAAAGAGAAATCTGTTTGGAATATCATCTCCGTCAGGATGTCCTTCCAGGTTGATACATGTTAATTGATTTTGTTTTTTAAATCAATTGTTATTGAATTGAATTAATTGGAAGTTAATAATGAATTGAAATGGATAAATTAATCAAAAAGAGGAACAAGAAAGTGGCTAGAGCTAACGTGTTTGCAACTTCAATGTTGAAATCTCTGATAGATCTGGGTGATTTTCTGAAGCAGAAGATCGCTAGAAGTTTCCAAATGCCTCAACAGAAGGTACTGGACTAGACGGAGGATTGTTTCAGAATATGTATGCCACAAACCTCCTTCCCAAAGATCCTGATGGGGCTGTTATGAATAGTTTTTTTAAAATTCCCCATGTGATTCTGTAAGGCACTCTCAACGGTGACCTACTGGTTTAAATCGTTGCAAAATGCCAGAATGTCATGATTCATATGGGGAAACTCAGGTCTTGAGTAAAACATGACCTGCCCAAAGTGATATACCCAACAATTCAGCTTTTTTTTAAATTATGTTATGTTAGTCCCCATACAATACATCATTAATTTTTGTTGTAGTGTTCCATGATTGTTTGTGAAAATTCAGCTTTAATTATCCAATCTATAGAGTCAATAGAATTACAAACTTGGGCTAAATTTCACTCTTTGTTCCTCACTTCTCCTCTTGAGAGATTAAATTGGTGCCAAAGAAAACCGACTCTAAGGCTCGCAGGTTGACCCTGAAGGTCTCTGTTCTTTTTTTTTTTTTAAGGATTTTATTTATTTATTTGACAGAGAGAGACACAGCGAGAGAGGGAACGCAAGCAGGGGGAGCGGGAGAGAGAAGCAGGCTTCCCGCTGAGCAGGGAGTCCGATGCGGGGCTCGATGCGGGGCTCGATGCGGGGCTCGATTCCAGGACCCTGGGATCATGTCCTGAGCCGAAGGCAGACGCTTAACGCCTGAGCCACTCAGGCGCCCCAGAAGGTCTCTGTTCTATGTGAAGTTTTTAATCTACATGATCCCACAGTCCAATCAAATGAGGTTTATGCATTCACTCAACTATTTATTGAGCCCTTGCTAATGTATCAGTCACTGAGAGGTACTGAGGATACAGTGTTAAATTATTCCTGCCCTCCTGGAGCTAGTGACAAATACAGATACTAAATCAAATAACAAGCTAATAAAAAAAAAAAACACGTAAGCTGTAATTGCTTCAAGAAAAAGAACTGAAAAGAAAAAAGGGCGGGGGAGGAGGAAAAACAGAAAAAAAGGGGGAAAGAACTGAGTTGTAGTAATTTCACCCCGTTGGGGATAGGGAAGGAAAGGAGCCGCTGAGGTGCAGATCTAAGATCTGAAAGTTAGATACAAAGTAGCCAGGAAGAAAGCTGCGGAGAGTTTTCTGGGTGAGGAAACAGCGTCTGCAAAAATCCTGAGGATTAAACCAGAAAGATCCATTTCATTCATTCCCTCTGAATATATTTAGTGCATATTAAATGCTTCTAAAGCGCTGCACAGAGTTTAACTTATCTTCTCCTTGTTGTTCACATAAAAAGACATTTATAATTTTAATACCTATAATATTCAGCCGATGCCCAATTAGCATAAACTAAAAACTGTTCCTGCTCTAAACCGCAGTTTCAGGTTGTCACCCGTCACCCTACGTAAAACGTTTCGTCATGACGTAAGAGCCTGGCCCTCCCTCCTCCTGCAGACCTATCCCACGCACTCAGCCAATCATAGTGTAGAACTCTCAGCTTGACATCTTCTGCCGCCAATCGCAGGGCACCTCCTCCCCGCCAATGACCAGCGGCAGAGAGGAAGCCCCCGTGCTCCGCGGGAATATCAATAAGGGAGCCATGGGAGGAATGGAAGCCTCGGTTCTCGCGAGGATGCTCCCGGCGCTCCCTTCTTCCCGAGGCGGGTTGTCACGTGACGCAGCCTCGCCCAATCACCGCGCGGGCTGCGGGGGTCGCCGCGGTTCCCGCCAAATACGAGCTCGGCGGCCGCGGCAGCAGCGGCGCGGGCGGGAGGGCGAGCGGCAGTGGCCGCCTGAGCAGAGCCCGCGCCTCCGCCGTCTGAGGGGAGCTCGAGCCGCCGCCGGGGCGATGCTGGAGGAGCTGGAGTGCGGGGCGCCTGGCGCCAGGGGAGCGGCCGCAGGTCGGTTTGGGCCCGCTCCGAGGGGAAGGGGGGGCACGGCGCGCGGCCTGCGCAGGCGGAGGCTGTATTTGGGGGCGGACGGGCCTCTCGGCCCCCGGCCCGCTCCTCTTCGGCCGGCGTTCGGTCGGTGCGGCCGTTACGGTCGGAGCCAGGGCCTTGCGACCCGAAGGGCGCCTTCATTGACGTTATTGTTGCGGCCGCGACCATTTTTTTCCCGGCGCTTTTGCGTCAGTTCGTCCTTGCAGGGCTCTCTGCGGTGACGGATCGGTATGGCCCGGAGGGGAGACTGAGGCCCAGGGAGGCGAAAGGGCTGGCTTTGCAGGTTGCTGAGTGCGTTTGTGTCCCCTGAGCCAGTTGGACTGTGCAGCGACCCTCTGGCCGGGTGGGGAAACTGAGGCCCGGGGGCACACGGGCTCGGGGACCACAACAGCTGCGTCTGCGGGTCAGGGCAAGCCCAGGTAAGAGGCCTGGATGGTGGGATCGTCAGGGAGCTGGGACTCCCGGGTTCTTGATCCTGCCCGCTATGCAAGGTGAAGACCTGCCGTCCCCTCCCCCACCCCACCTTGGGAGGGGGCTTTCTAGCACCTGGAAACGTGGGATGGTGAGCCAAAGAGGACCAGACTGCCTGTCTACCTTGCTTGACTTCCATTTTGTCCCTAGCACTGGCGCAATGCTTGGCACATAGTAAGTGCTGGACAAATAACCTGTTCATTGACTTAAGGGTTGACAGGGAGATCAACTAACTAGTCTACTCCAGGGTTTCTCAACCTGGGTGGGCACTGTTGACATTTGGGGCTGTCCTGTGCATTGTAGGGTGTTGAGCAGCATCCCTGGCCTCCACCCATCAGATCCCAGTAGCATCCCCTTTTACTATTTGTGATGACCAAAAATGTATCCAAGCATTGCCAAGGGGCCCCAGGATGAGGGGGCAGAATAGCCCCCTAGTTGAGAAGCACTGTTCCAATTGTTTCCAAACTTTGAAATTTCATGGAGACATAAAATTCCTATCAGTAAAGTTGGGACCGATTGTCCGGGGCAGTCATTTGATCCAGTAAGAATGTTTAATTTAAAAATTAAAAAAAAAAACACTACCTTGCTGTGACCATCCCATCATAAAAGGAAGGGGTGTTTTAATGCTAAATAAAATTAGGAGGCATGTAATCTCAGAATAAAGAGCATTGGGAACTTTAGACAAGAGTGTGTGTTAATTGTACGTGTATCTTTGAACAGTTCAGATCCCTGAGTGGGCTACTCTTTTATGCTTCTGGGCCTAGGTCATTTGTGTTCCACTCACATCAAAGCTGGTGACTCAGGGCCACACCAGTAAATACTTGTGGTTGTCCTAAAAATAAATTTAAGTAGGTAAAGATTATGTATACTTCAGTTGAGGGGCGAAAATCATGTCTGGTAAACAAGGACTTGAGAATGATACTGTCTTGGGTAGAAAGGAAATGTGAATCCTCGGGGTATGTGTATTCCAAGCTTGGAGGGTAGGCGAGAGCACTTTCATCTATGGACAGCAAGTTTTTAGAAACCTTGATCTGCTTTTTAAAAATACTTAACGTTTATGTATCTTTTACAAAACATATGTAGATTGCCCCAGATAGCTAACCTAGATATTTCTCAAGCCAGGTCTCCTAGCAGATGTCAGCTTCTAAACTTATTCTAACCAATTTAAGCATATTTTCCAAAGACTTAGTTCTATTTACAGTCATTTCTGTATCAACTTTGATATTATTAGATGCTTTTCTTGAGATTTTTTTCATGCAGGAGAACATTCTCCCTTATTTCTTGACAGCACTTCATCTCCAGCCTGGCAAGCTCAACATGCTTTAAATTGTTTTACCTGTATGGACTCTGTTTAAACGTTTTTGTTTTTTTTTTTAAGATTTTTTTATTTATTTGACAGAGAGAAAGACCGCCAGAGAGGGAACACAAGCAGGGGGAGTGGACAGAGGGAGAAGCAGGCTT